CACATGTTTTATTTATTTTAATTTTTAAGATACCTTGATCACAAGCAAAATGTTTTTCCAACAATGTGTTTCTCCAACAATACATCTTTCCAATACAGTAATACATCCTTTCAACAACACATAACAACTGTAAAGAAAAAAAAGAAAAGAAAAGATAACAAAGAACAAGGGTATCTGTGCAGATCATACTATAGTAAGAGATTAAAGATATTGTAAAACTATATGGAATAAGCAGTTACAAGTAGTAACACTTTGGAATAAGGCTGGGATAACTTGGAAGATAAGTTTTAACTATGATTTCACCAGTCAGTTGAGCTAGTAAGCTAATTAGATATGTTGGGTTATTGCTGAAAAGGTAGTAGATATAGACTACTAAACATACTAGAAGATCTATCAACAAATTATACTCTGTAGCTCTCCCTCAAACCAGTATAGTATAGGGCTACCTGTTATATTTAGTAAGGAAGAGAAGCAAAGATTAGTTACTTTTGTTACTCAAGATGCTTATACCTAGTACTTAGAGTAGGAAGAGGTTATTGCAAAAATGAAATATCAATATTCTATATAATCTATTTGTGATATACTTACATTGTTAGGTTATTATAAATAGCTTCTTAGAAGAAAGTAAGCTTCCAATAATATTATACTAATATAGATTAAACTAATTATTTCACTAGGAGTAGATAGGGCATTCAGATAAAAAATAAACTATTATACATCCAATGGTACCAGGAATAACTACACAGAACTGAGGAGGATTAGATGCAAACAGTTTAAATCAATGAATCTAGCTTCTCAACTACTGGATTTAGTCATAGGCCTTAGGTATTGAGGAAGGCGGATGAAGAATATTATCCTGACTATATAAACTATATATGAAAATCAGGTTGACAGTCAGTAATAGTATGGGAGGTTTTTAATAGCTTAATAAAGTCTTGACTATATATAGTACCTCTAAGAACTACATTAAATTTACAAAAATACATATAAAATGTCCTTTTTCCTCTTCTCCTACCTTTCTAGACTCAGACCTGCAAGGAATATGGGTGGACTCAAATTGTAGAAAATAATGCTCCTAGGTACAAAGGTTTTGCAATTGCAGTCTGGGAATAATACAGTCACCCGTCAAAAGTCTTCGCAAGGTGCTGACTAGGCAACACCTCAAGGTATGTTCGCTACTACGGTCGTGTAAATTGTATCGTACTATCGTTCACCAATTCACAGCCATGCCTTACCAACCGAGAACCCAGCGTAGGGAGATGTCAGAAGTTCTGAAAGGCATGATAATTGCCTTCTTTTGGTGTTTTCATAATTATTCTTTTGTTGCAAGACTGGTGGAGAGATCAGAGAGTACATTACGGTCATTTCTGAAGCGTGCCTCAGAACGCGGACATATTCACAACTTACCTCGCTCCAGAAGACCTTCAAAACTGAGTAGGCGTGATAAAAGATGTATCAAACGTGCCTGGAAAAAAGATCGCTTACAAACTAAGGAGGAGGTATGTGCCAGAGAGTTGTTAATTGGTCTAATTGCTAATGCCAGTGTGTTAATTTCTTAGCTTCGCCATGGTGTCTGTCCTCATGTCAGTATGTCAACTCTTGATCGGTATCTACGGAGTCAGAATCTACGGAAATGGCTTGCCAAGCACCGTGTGAAGCTCACTGAAGAGCATGCTGCTAAAAGACTCCAATGGGCAATAGACCACAGAGACTGGACTCTTAAGGACTGGTATCGTGTGATTTGGAGCAATGAGTGTACGGTGGAAAAAGCTGGAACAGCACGCCAGCGCTGGGTATTTCGGCACCCATGGGAGAAGTGGCTGCCAGAGTGCTGTAACCCTAAGCCAAAGCATAAAAGTGCTTCATTGATGGTTTGGGCTTGCTTTTGTGGATTGGAACGGGGAAAGCTTCATTGTCTAATTGACAAAAAGACCATGAATGCGGAGTACTACATTGGGATGCTATCACAACGACTTATTCCCTTCTGGCACTACCTATTGGGTATAGATCTAGAGCCTATATTCATGCAGGATGAGGCACGAGTGTATACAGCAAGGGTATCCATGGCATTTTTTACAGACCACGATATTAGCCTATACAACCATCCACCGTACTCTCCTGATCTCAACCCTATCGAACACATCTGGGTTCACATGAAGCGCACACTACACCAAATATACCCTGATATCGTGAACCTGAGAGGATCTCCGGAAACAATCCAGAAGCGACTAGCTGTGATATTGCCAACAGTGTGGGAGGAGGTACCGGAACGCTTTTTTGAATCAATGCTAGATTCAATGCCGGACAGGGTACATGCGGTTATCGAGGCCAAGGGATGGTATACGAAATACTAGTGGTAGCATGCTTGATCGGGTTTTTTTTTGATTGTATGGCTTGGGTACTATGGCAAGGGGAGAGAGAAATATCTAATTATGTAATTAGGCTTGGCGGGATCGCGAAGACTTTTGACGGGTGACTGTAGAATATGGACTACCTCCTATAGCCACCTCAGTCCCCATATCTTAATCTTATTAAAGCCTTACAGGTAGAGATTGAGACAAAAATGTGACAAATATATAAGCAAGTACAAGATACTAGTACCCAGACATTGATTCTGATAATAAAAGCTACTTAGAAAAATACTACCTCAGAACATCTTCTTCAGCTTATTCAGAGTATGCCACAAAGGCTTGTTACTATTATAGCTATAAATGGAGAAGCCAGGCCCTACTAGAATAGTATATTATATTATTTTTTTTTATATTTTAATATGTATTGTAAAAAGTTTGCCTTACTTTTTTCTATCTCCAATTTTCTGGCTTAGCTGTGGCAAATAGCTAATGAGAGTTATAGTTTTTACTACCTCTGATACAACCAACAGCCAGTTACTAGCTCAGAGTTCACCTGACTTATGCTCACTCCCTAAGTACTAGGTTTCTGATAAAAACTGTAACAATTTTAGAAGTGATACTGGCTGTAACACCTCAATAATTACCCTACCTATTATAGGCCTTCTCACAACATAGAAAAGATAAAATCTAATCCAAGAATGAGTGATAACCTATCATTTACCATATACTATAGCTATACAAAGTTTTATTTTTGTCCAAACTAAATACTTTGTAAAAAAGTAATATATTATATCTCTACAACTGCCCATGTGCGAACCACATGGGATGAGAACAAACGTATACTACAGCTCTAATATTTTAAGAAGCATTCCCGTGGCGGGAATGCACAGAAGATTTGAATCAATGGATCTATTGAGGGGGGCAGGGAGGCTTTGGGGTGAGTCGCGGTATTCGGTGCCCGGGATATTGGGTGTGGGCCATAGGAGTTTGTGGTTTGTCTTTAATTTATTAGTTTGGAGTATGCGATTGTTTTTGCATGTGTATGCTTGGTATTTTACTTTATTTTGCCTTTCCGCTACCTGCCGGTCTTTTTTTTTTTTGCCGCTATTGTCCTTGTCAATCCTATGTTTAAAATCCTCATCTAACTTGAATTTAATAGTAAAGTCTAACCTTATTGTCTGCGGTAACAAAAATCTGAAGAATCCACATATGGATTTGCCGGATTTCATTCCAATATAATGTTACTCCGTTTTCCTGTTGAGTGAATTTGGTCTTAGACATCCCCGCTATTTGTGCCTTGTACGAAAACATCTTGCCTAGCGCTTGTACTTGTAATAAACATCAATCCAGGCTGACGACCCCCATTTGGATTTCTGTAAAAGGAAAAACATCCAACCTAAGGGGTGAGAATTAGCGATGTGAGACATACTTCTACTCCCGTAAAAACCTCCCCCCCGCCCACTATCGCCCATCGTCCTCGGATCTTCCCGACCAGAGACAAATCACCGCGAGGAAGAATACCGTAGTGTTTCCCTGACGTAATACTTATACACAGCCTAGGGAGGCTGAGCTTGCTGGATCTCATTATCTGGCACTCGTTATTTTGTTACCCTACCCTGCTAGGCCCACCACGGTCCTGAGAGTGATTTCCGTTGATGATAGATATAAGGTGATACTGCGGTATCGGGGATAGGCGTCGGATCCCCTGACCAGTGGCAAAAAACGACTAAACACCCCGAGAAACAATAGTGTTACCCCGGCGGGTAATTCGTGCAGGTATGGATTGGGAAGGCTAGGCTCATTAGATCTTATTAACCAGCATTCGTAATTTTATCAATCTGCCTAGCTAAGCTTATCGTACGGTACTTGGGGTGAGATTAAATGTCCGTAAACGGTGACCTACAGCATCACCGATTCACAATGCAATTGTAAGTAACTCCCACGAACATTTAATCTCTCCCCAAGTAGTTTAGACCATAATCTCTGTTACGATCTCCGATAGTAGATTTAACGAGATTCTACGGCACTACCGTATTTACTAGCTGGATCCACTATCGGGGATCTCAGAAGGAAATCACTGTCTAAACCACAATAGGTTTAGCAATATAGGTTAGCAATATTGCGAATACTGTATCATACCTGTTAATGAGATCCAGAAAGCTCAGCCCCCCAAGCCATACTCTGTTTGGATAACACTATCCCTTCTCGAGGTGTTTTGTTTCTGATCGGGGGGATCCTGGGCCGATGGACGATAGTGGACCTAGTGAGTAAATACGTTATGATATCATGCTTGTAGAGCACTCGTAAAGTACTCGTACACTCACACCCCGCTATCCTGGACCGCCAAAATCTAAAGAATCTTTCTGGTACAACGGGTCATCCGGAACAACGAGCCAAGTTTTGCTAGGGAAAATTTTTGAATTCACAGCATTTCGTACGGGGCAACGAGGTATCCGTACTTTGGAGATCCCGGATTGCGGGGCTTGAGTGTACTCAGCAAGCCTGTAAAAAACAAATACTGTATTACAAGTAAGGCGCAGCCTTACTTGAAGCACATAGTTATATTTGTTACACAACTCTCCCTATATCAGGGCCGACCGAGCCTCAGCCTCGAAAAGCACCTCCAGTCCCCTCACCAGTGCTCCTGCCAAACTCCACGATAACACCTCTGGGTCCCTCGAAACCACGTACGGGACAATGAATCACAAGCCAGACTCCTTTCCATGCCACCTTGAGCACTCTAGTAGTTCAGGTCTTTCGGGGGACACCCTGTATGTATGGTCCTGAATATGATCTCTTGTTGCGGAAGCTAATAGTTCAAGCAGACTTAATGGAGAAAAACAGTGTGGCATAAATGGCGATGGGGCCGGAAACAACCACGCAAATAACACCTTTGAAAGCAACAATCACAACAACAATCACGACTACAGTTACAAAGTATCTGGCAATACTTATCACTTCAACTTTTCCACACAGCCGCTACCCACAATACATGAAATTTCACGAACCCTCTCCGAATCACTCAAAATTAGCCAAGTTGGGTACCAAGCTAAGAGGGGGCGGGGAGGGATGCCAGCCTTGCATTACGCTGCTGATATAGGAGACGAAACTGAGGTGGAGCGTATACTCAAGAGCTGGAGTGTTGAAAGCATAGCAAGCAAACGTATGCGGAACCTCTGCGAGAAGGATAAGCCACACGGGATGACCCCCTTGCATTATGCGGCAAAACGTGGAAACGAGACAATTACTCGATTGATACTATCATATCATGCGGAGAGAGCACGTTCCGAATTTAATTCCAGACGTAGGCAAAAGGGAAAGCAGCCACCAAAGAATGTTCCCGGGGCCACACCTCCGATCAAACCTGAGGATGCAGTCAAGTCATTCCTCGCGAGCAAGAGCAAGGAGCATGGAATGGATGCTCTTCATTTTGCGGCTGCAGGCGGGCACGATAACGTAGCAAAGGCCTTGCTTGGAGAAGGAGCCGACATTATGGCCAAGTGCAGTTGGGATGGCATGAACTCTATGCACTACGCGGCCCTGTTCGGGCATGTCAACATACTTTCTCTACTCAAGTCCTACCTCGACAGCCAAGAAGATACCACAGATAAGCCTGATTCTCGAAAGAGGAAAGAAGATAAAAATAAGGACCCGCACAAACCACCCATAGGCAAAAACCCCCCCTTGCCGCCGCATGAAGAAGATGCAGCAAATAGCATGCCCGACGCTCAGCAAATGGACTGGACTATTGTTCAATCGAAAAAGGCCCGCAAAAGGCGTCACTTGAAACCTAACCGCGAGGACAATCCCGAACAGAAAGCTGTCTTGAAAGATATGCTAGAAACCAAGAGCAAGAAGTCCGGCATGACGCCATTGCATTTTGCAGCCAGCAGCGGGAGAAATGCTGCTGTGAGGTTTCTCATCGAATGTGGGGCCAGTGTAGAGGCCAAGTGCAACTGGAATAAGCGGGCACCTATCCATTACGCGGCGAATTACGGGCATTCTACCACTGCAAAGCTACTATATGACCATAATGCCGATATCAACGTTGTTTGTGGAAGGGAAGGAATGGCGCCTCTACATCATGCCGCCCGAATGGGGCACGAAGTTGTGGTGAAATTCCTTTGCGAAAATGGCGCGGATTTCTCATTCGGATGTCGATGGTGGAATATGACCCCGCTCCATTATGCCGCTAAGCACGGGCATGAGGTAGTAGTGAGGATGTTAGTACTTTATCACCATCCCAGCACGCCATTCAGAGATGGCCACGAACGAACGGCTTCCCAGTACGCTGAATATAACGGGAACGAGAGCATGAGGCACTTTCTCAACCACTATTATAAGGGGTAGTGGGAATCCAAGGGCAAACTCGAAACTCCGAGCCGCCTCTCGAGGACCTATCGCTACTCTGCCGCCGCCACCACCTCCACCAGTGACATGGCCAGGGTGCTTGGCTTTCATTTATCGTGTGTTCATCCCGATACCCCCAGGAGTTGTTCGGCCGAAGGAAGGAGGAAGCGGGGGTTACCCGAGTCTCGAAGCAAGTGTAACCAACACGGGCAAAAATTCACAGACGATATACAGAAGCGCAATGAGCGACCACAGCGACCTACTATACCAAATCCCACTGATTTGGCCATTGCGCTGCACCCGCTGCCGCCCCAAGACCTCCCTCGAACAAACCTTGCCCAGGCAATTCTCAACACGTCAACACTCCGGGGTCTCATTGAAACCCAACACCTGGAACTCCCGCTTCCAGCAGCGAAATTATTGGCAGAGCCTTTTAAAAATCAGACTGGAAGGCACTGAGTAGGCGGTATACTCAGACGCGATACTTCCCTCCCCGCCAAGTGAATATCCAGCCAATTCGCCCAGTTACCCGTCATTTCACTTTTCCTTCTATCGATACTCTACAGGCCGATATAGATTACCATAAACCACTTTTGTCATGCATAGCGGATACCCTTCCTTTTCTTTGACTTTTCCTCTGGAGCGGGGGTACCTGTGATACATAGAGTATAAGTTGGTACAGTACACGGAAGGAGGTAGAATTATTATTTTTTCATCATTCTGGCGCACTGCATATACGGTCTGATAGTTTTTTTCCACCACCATTCCCTATTGGTAATTTATTCTTAACTTGTGGTTCGCTGCACATCACCTTCCCTCCTTCGAAAAATAATAACACCCCCCAGACGCTATTCAGCGCAACGTTAAAACCTGACTCTTGTCGAAAGCGGGAAACGCTCTACAGCCCTGGCCAAATGTCTAAATTTTTTTTCTTTCTCCTGCCACCAAAGGAATCTACAGAGGTTAAACTTCAAAAACACCTTCCAACCTGCTATATATGTATATATATGTTCCATCCCACTGGTAAAGAATTTTACTTCACCAAGGAGATATCCTCTTGGCTAAGTAGGTCACTTCCCTGGTAGGATATCCTACACACAAAGGAAATATTTACTTATCCCATTAACCAAGCTTTTTGGTAAAGTGACATAATAGTAAAAAAAATCAAAATCTATAGGAATAATGGTACTAGCATGTCTTATAAGCTATTCTCATTGCATTCCTATAAGCAGAAAGGTAATTCTGATACATTTTCAGACTTTTTATTAAATGTGAATAAATACTTTAGTTATTTGTTTATCAAATCTAATATTGTTTTAAGAATTAAATACAGGAACAGAGAATTACCAAATAGAGAACTGAATAGAGGATAGGATAGAGTAAAGAATAATAGAATAGATAGAGAACAGGATGGAAGACCAGATAAAGGACAGGACAGAAAACTTTAAGTTTTTTTTAATTGAGGTTTACAAGAATAATTTTATCTGTTATATGTTAGATAGAAAATAACTGGTTATAGGGAGAAAGAAAAGAGCAAACAGAGGGAAAGAAAAATAACAGAAAAGAAAGAGAGCCTGATGAGTGAGACAGACTCCACCTCATACAAATCAACTAAAACATTCAAGAACTATATGCCTTTAATGAGCATGCCATAACTAGTTAATAGAGTAAAGAAACACCTTACTACCACCTCCTCCTACATTCCAAACAAACTAAGAAAATCAAAAAGAAAGTTCTTAATAGGTTAAAAATCAACAGGTATGATAGTATTCACATAAAATACCTTCTCAGAATAAGGTATGAATTGTTGAATTATAGATGGAGTGAGAAAGGAATAAGGAGATAAGAGAATTAGTAGTATATGAAAAAAAATTAATGTATTCTACTTGGTGGATAGGATGAGAAAAATTTAACTTGGTGAGTAAGCTATCCTACAGGGCAAGTTCTCTGCTTGCCAAGGAGATATCCTCTTGGTGAACAGGATACCCCCTTGGTGAAGTAAAATTCTTTGCAAGTGGGATGGAATATATATATACTTTGCATACCCAGCAAGGTAGCAAGACAAATAAACCGTTTGTAGTTGAATTCCGAAAGTCGGGTTTTAACTGGCACTGTACTGTACAGGTTTATAATATTATATAATATTATATATATATATATCCATCAAGGTTCCAGCCGGCCACTATATGAGCCCTGGTGACAATCCATTCCCTCCAAACTCCAAACGCCACAGCAGCAGATTCATTGTGTGATAGATACTAGTAGATAGCAGATTAGATTTGAAAGAGAAAGGAAAGAAAATATGATACATTCCCTATTTGAGTTTCAGATATTATAGTACTACATCCACAACCACTTCTATAGAAGCACCAATCTGCAGCCCCTCTTTTTATCCGTAATTTCTTTCATATCATACCCTCGCTCCCCCCGGCGCGGCAGAACTCCCATATCATAGTTCCACCACCGAACCTTTTCTATTCTCCTTCCGTTCTGCGATGATATCGTGGCGGGAGTGGGGGTGCCGACGGCAGGTTGGAAATACTGTACTGTACTTTTATATACAAAGTACAAAAGGCGTATAAAGTATTACAGGAATAGAAGTACGAGTAATGCTGCAGGTTAGTTGCCCAGCACCCACCGCCACCACCAATGAAATAACAAAAATGCGTCAGTAAGGAGGAAGCCTGAAATTTGAAGCCATCCGTCCCATCAGAATTTACAACCCAAGATATCATCGTAACTTATGATGAGTACAATTTTTTTAAAAAAAAGATATTTCCTTAATAATAAGTTGCTCTGATACAGTAGCCAAAAAGGTAATTTACAAACAAAAAAAAAAAACTCAGCATGGTTCTTTAAAGTTAAATCTAGGGGGGGTGAAAATTGAACCCCGTCTAGTTCTAGACTAAGATACCCCCCAACATCATAATAATACTATAACAATTTTCAAAGATGCATATCATACTACTCGCCAAAATCAAAAGTCTCTCCCGGACCTTTACATGGGCGCAACCGACCGAACCACACCCTGCTTGTAAAAATTGGGGCTCACGAGGCTCACCTCTCATAACCTCTAGACATCACTAGTGACCCTGTTTTCCGGTGATATTTTATTTATGGACAATGCTATCAACACAATTCTCCCGTCGTCGGGGCTGTCAGAGCGGAGTAATTGCTGTGTTGCCACCGGCGGCTACAAGTATACTTTGGGGACAGACTTTCGATTTTGGCGAGTAGGGTACAATAGTGTCAGAATGAGAAGCCCATACGAGTAAAGTTCAGCACCAATAACTTAAAATTATCAACGTGTTTTCTCACGCGAATACTTCCCGAATATAGTAATACCAGTAGTAAGAACTCGGAGCCGAGCCGCCCCACACGACCATCACGTTTTTTCGCAAACGCCGGCACATCCAAAAACCGCTACTGTATACGAGTACGATACATAATACGATAGACTACGGTACGGTGGCAACGACAAGGTCGTCTCCTCCCTCCCTTCTTCCCCAACCAGAACGCCACACACAAAAAAAAAAACACATGATTACTAGTATCATACCATGGATCCGCCGGCAGGAGCAACGAGACCAACTATACTCCTCTTCGGCACCTGCGACACGAAACTGTCGGAGCTTCTCTTCCTCAAGCATGCGCTTTCCGAGAACCCGCGCGCCGCCACCGTCCTCCTCGCCGACGTGGGCCGCGTGCCCGTCGCGCACGCGGAGATCGACATACCGCGCGGCGAGCTCCTGCCCCATCCGCCCGCGGGATTCGACGGGTTTCCCCGGAACGTGGTGATAGCCAGCATGTCGGGGGCGCTGGTGCCCCTCATAAACTCCAGGCTGTCGCTCTCCTCGCTGCACGGCGTCATCTCCATCGGCGGATCAGGCGGCACCTCGCTGGCCACCAGCGCCATGCGGAATTCCGCGCTGCCGGTCGGGTTCCCCAAGATGGTGGTCTCGACCATGGCCGCTGGCGACATGAGTTCCTTCGTTGGCGACTCGGACATAACGACCGTGTACTCCGTCGTTGACATCGCGGGCATGAATTCCATACTCTCTGCCATCCTCACGAATGCCGCGGGTGCTATGGCTGGCATGGCGGAGGCTTACCACCGCATTCACCGCGCGCCCCCTTCAACGCCGAAGAAGCGGGCCGTGGCGATAACCATGTTCGGCATCACCACCCCCGCCGTCACCCACGCGCGGAGGGTGCTGGAGGGGGAGAACTGCGAGGTCTTCGTCTTCCACTGCACCGGTGCCGGCGGCCGCTCGATGGAGAAGTTGATAGTGGAGGGGAAGATGGACGGGGTGCTGGACCTCACAACGACGGAATTGGCCGACGAGCTCGTCGGCGGCGTCATGAGTGCCGGGCCGGAGCGGCTGACGGCCGCGTCGAGGGTGGGCATCCCGCAGATCATCTCCACCGGCGCGCTCGACTGCGTCAATTTCGGGCCGAGGGATACGGTGCCGGAGAGGTTCCGGGGTAGGGACCTGCTTGTGCACAATGACTCCGTCACCCTCATGCGTGCGAGCGACGAGGAGATGACCGGGTTGGGGACTAGGATGGCCGAGCGCGTGGTGGCCAATCTGGACAAGCCCTGGCGGACAGCGATATGGTTGCCCATGGCCGGGTTCAGTTCGCTCTCAAGTCTTCGGGGACCCTGGGAAGGGATGGTTGGCTTCGAGGGCTTTAGGGAGAATCTGGTCAAGGGATTGGGCGGGGTTCTGGAGAACGAACCCAGATTAGAATTGAGGGTGGAGGATGTGGGGATAAACGAAGAGGCCTTCGCAGAGTCGGCAGCGTGCAGGCTTCTCGAGATGATGAAGGAGGCGGAAGAGGAGGACCGGAGGGAACACAATTTTTTTCACGGGAATGGGAGAGTTAGGTAGTGGTGCTGTAATTCCACGTCATGGGACATCACTCGTACGGGCGGTTTTCTACGGAACGATTAGGAAAAGCCTGGGAACCGGGATTGTAGCGCTAGTCAATTATTGATGAGCCTTTCCACAAATAGAAATCACTATAGGCCCCTCCAATTAAACCATTCTCAGTTCCCTATGCAGCCGGGGTTTCCCAACATGCAGTTTGCCAGGCGTGGTGTGTCAGGCTGCAGTATAAGGTATGAATTGCCAAACACCCAGGGGATGCTTGTAAGGTGATAAACGTGGGAGCCCGATAGAAAATAAGGTATAAGTTAATACCGGGAGTACGAACTGCTTCACTGTGTTTTCAAAACTGCATTTTATAAGGTTTTACACATTCTACCTTTCAAACTTAGCACTGCCAAGCACCCAAATGCACTCCGTAAGGAAATGCCTCTCAAAGGGCATTCGGCAAGGGTTTTCCTTACTAAATTCGCTTGCCAAACAGGGCCATAATCTCTTCTCCCAAACGGTTGGAATCACCCTACGCACGAGTGATACCGCATGCTCACCTCGTCATCCCCGATTACCCATCGGGTAGCTCCTCCCCGCAGTGCGCAAAAGTATCCCTCCCCCCCTGCCTTTTATGACGCTCTCACGATCCTTGCCGTGCGTACCGTGACCACATGCGCGAACAGCGAGGACCCACTTTGGACCCCGACCACGGTACGAGTTCGCACGCGGGGGGGGAGTGGGGATTAGGTACCGTGATTTAAATACGGTAGTGAAGGGTAAAGTGAAGATTATTGGAGCCCAGAGGACGCATATACCTTTGCTGTGATGAATCAACATACGGTATTAGGGACATTCAGGACCGGTTATCGGAAAGGTGGCATCCGCCAGATTCCAATGCAAAAAGGCGCTACGCACCAAAGTCCTTCAACCAGAGAAACTTAAGGAGGTTTTCGACCCCGTTGCTGAATGCCTCTATTCAGGGGGTAAGGGTTTTATCGAGGGTAAGTGGAATAAGGTTAGCTCAAATTCCAACACGGTACCATGGTGAGAGTATTTCACCGATGCCGGTGGTGACAGCGGCTATTTGTCGCGTGGGAAAATGCACTGTGGTGCCCCCTTTCCGCTCTATTAAATGTCGCCAAACTAGGCCAAGTGTGCGCATCGGGGGCGAGCACCCAATATATTGGGATTTGCTCCAAGCACGTGTGCTTGACCCTGTTTCGCTCGCTAACAAAGGTTATAGTTGCTCCATGGTCTCCATCTGCCGGAATTGTTCCTGCCCAGTTGGTGAGCATCCAGTACTAGTCCAAGCTGAGCCGTTACCCCAATAAATCTACCACCCAAATTAGCCCCTCTGGCCCGCCTTCGAGTACCGGTATCATACTTTAGCCAGACTACAGGTCACCGGACCTCCGAGTTACCTCTAATTTCTACGCTCAAAGTGACTTCCATGGCAACACAGCCTTTTATCAACCGTGTGCACCATCCAAATCCATTCTCGGACCCTCCGACCATTTGTCTCGGGACTTGCTGGCTCTGCGAGACAATTCCAGAAGGATACAGGTTCCGTCCCATGGTTAAATTCAAATCCCCTCTTCCCCTTGCAGTGAAATCTCTGACTAAGCGTCTCATGGCCCTAAGCCTAGCAAAGTCTTTCTCCCCGGAACCCCGGGTCGGACCTCCCGCCGGGTAGCACTGGTGTGCCCTCCAAGGATAATCGCAGTAGGAGGGAAAGTGTGGAAAAAGATGGGATGGTTCATGTTTGTGTCCCAGTGGTCAGGATGGGCAACAGCGATCGGTAGTTTTTTTTTTTTCATTTTTATTACCCTCTCGATTCAACCGTTCTGAAAGGCAGGGCGGGCGGTTGTGAAATGTCGGTAAGTGCGACAACTACCATCATAGCCAGGGAATATGCTGCAAGGGAGAAACAGAAACAAAACTGTAACCGAGCGGGTGAGAATTTGTGAACGGCAAGGAAGGAAGGAAAGAAAGGAGGAAGGGATATCATACGATTTCCGGATGACAAAAACGGCACAGTAACTTGAGCGAGTACTGTGCTGTACTGTACGAGTACTCGAGTACTCGTACCGTACACGTGTAATACGTGGGAAACAAAGTATCCCCGTCCTCTGCAAAACAAAAAAGCCCCCAACCTAAAACACGCACTGGCTATATGATAGTAATAATTGATATAATGGAAAGTGGGGACAATTTCCACCTGTAATGTTACAGTAAAATGAAACCAAAAACGAGAGATTTAGAAGGAAGGAAGGAAAAAATAAATAAAAATAAAATAACCAACAAAAATGTAATAAAATAAAAAAAGCAAAGGCGGATTCAAATTTGGGGGCCATAATCTCTTTTTTTTTCTGGCCTGGGTGGGGGGTGCTGGTGGTGGCAGTGGTGCTGAGGCTAGGGGAGACGCGCTGTGTGGGCCGGGTTGGTGGGTCGTCACGGGACTTGGCGTGTATGCGTACCGTATGCTGGTGTATGTTCCGTCTGTCTTGTGGAAGGTTAAAAGTATCGTACTCCACCTTATCATGCTCGAGTTCAGCAGCGATGGGAGCAATTGAAGGGAATAATCAAAGCGAGTGGGTATCGCAATGATATTCGGGGCGACGATGATATCGGCACCTGAATGGATTCGGTATGGTATGCTTGCAAAGCGAGAAGATTCGATGGATGGATTGATTGGTCGATAAGAATTTTGGGTCAAAATTCCGGGTTGCGATGTGAGGCATTACACACAGAGCGCCGCTACAGCGACAGCCAGCACTGTACTTTACCGCATGAGTGATTGCTCCCGGAGATGAGAGGAGATGAGAGGAAGATGAGAAAAGTAGCTGTCGGCCGGGATCTGTTATATCATAAGTATCGCATCGTATCGTATCATAATTGTATCTGTCTGATCGGGAGCGAATGGAAGGTACCATACCGATTTTGTGCATTTTTTCTCCTCTTTTCATCATTTCGAATTCTGCTCGCACTGCTAAGGTTTGTTTCACAGCTACCGGCACCGCAACAATTTTGGCTCAATTGAATTGGGTTGAATTGGATTGGATTGGATTGGATTGGGTAGGGAGGGAGGGAGGGGAAGGGTACGGTAAGGATTGTATCAGCTCGTACTGCAATTCCAACTCACACACACTCTATTTTTTAAAGAATAATAGTAATAATTCGGTTTTTGTTATGATAAAATATAATGGAAAAAAAAAAAGTGATGAGTTGTGGATGGTATAATTATGGGGGTGGTGGGTGTGAGTTGTTGAATTGAGGGAGGCTTGTCGGTCAGGATGGGTGGATGTGGTGGATGGATGGATGGATTAGATTTTTATGAGGATTTTGAGGGGGGGGAGGGAGGCTGTTGGGATGGGGGTGTGTGGGATGATGGATGGGTGGATGTATGAGGTGTAGTGTGGGTTGTGGTGTGTGCGTTTGGTTGGCGTTTAGGATTTTTTTTTCCTCAATGGGGGGGGGGGGGCGTAAGGTGGTTCATCGTGCTGTAGCTATGTATTCTGTGACTTCCGAGCTGTCACTGCTCGCTGGCTTAGTTAAGGCGAGAAATGTTTCTCAGCCTTTTTGGAAGGGGGAAAAGAGTGAGAGGAAACTTCTCACTCGAGAGGGGTAAGTCAGGACAGGGCAGACTTCCATCCTTCCTTCAAGCCCCCTTCCACCGTTTTCAAACGGGTCTAGCCTATTTGTTCACCCCTGTCCTAATCCCACGGTATCTCGCCTAACCTGCACACAGTGCTCGAGTACCGTATCACATCGCATTTTTCCCATCCCATTAAACTCTTCCCTCTCTCTCCTCCTCCCTCTTCCCACTCTGCTCGAGGGCAGAGACTTGCCAAACGCGAGTTAAAGACGTTCGTTACTGGCGCTCCACCCAGCTGCTTGCCTCTTCATCATACCTTACCTACCATTCTGCCCTGCCCTACCTTACCTTACCTACCCACCTGCTTGTTTCTCCAACCCTTCCTGCCTACCTATCGTACCTGCCTCTTCATTCTATTTCCATTCCCTCCATCCCATCACTTCCTCCGCCTTCACCATCTCCACCACCCGCTCTACCCCCCCCCCCCCTCCCTCCCCACTACCCAACACCGGATCCGTGTATGCATCGTCGCCATCCTACCAACGACTGTCACTAACCTTAAATTATTCCTTTCCACAGCCCATCCCGGCACCAATTGAGAGAGCAAATGGTCTACGTTCCCTGGCGCCTCAGCAGTTTGGAGGCTTGCCACGTTTCAGAGGAGGAATGGGCAGGCCTACGGTCAACAGTTATAGAGGCCCTCAACAGCAGTACAATTGGGCTCGAAGGTCCCTCGGTACACGGGAGCGCGTGGGACGATTGGTTTGAAGAACTTGCCGAGAGAGTCGCGAGGGAGTACTGGCCCAAGACTGATCGTGTGGCGTTAGTTTTATTCTTTCTTGCTTTTTCATTTCCTTGTTCTCGAAACCCTCGTATCATACTATTTCACATTTCTCTCTTCTCTCTTTCTTTGGCCAATTGAGGAATGCTGACAGGATGTGACTTGTCTTTCTTTTGATGGGGTGTCTAGTGTCCGCAGGATCTTTAGACCACAGGTTATTGAGATGGCCGGGGTTGAGCGCGGGAAACGGCGCGCGCAAAGGGCTGGTGGGAGCGAGGATTCAGATGGTGGGGCAGGAAGTAGCAGCCGCGCGAGACCCAAGAGGGAGGATGATGAAGACGAGGAAATGGGGAATGCACCGAATGCATCGACAAGCACCCCTGTCGCTCCAAGGGCGGCCACTGTGCCCTCGACCCCTCACGAGAATGCAAACGTCGCACTATCTTCCTCTTCCGCGCCCAATCCTCGCACTGAGGAGACGGAGGACACGTCCAACGCGGCAGCCAGTACTCTGACACCATCGGAAGCACCACGTCGGGGCCCCGGCCGGCCGAAAAAGCCCCCGGCCCACTCGCCAACTGAGCAGTCTGATACTCCTACTGTTTTGAAGAAACACCCTCCACAGAACCCTCACGAGGAGGTTAACCCCACACCACCGAAGCGCCCACGCACTTCACGTGCTCACCCCCCTCCTCCATGGATCGCCCCCCGCCCGCTGGAACCTCCTTCCGCGCCCTCTGCTACGCTAGGCCTGATCCTGGAAACCCGTATTCCGCCGTCGGAAAAGATGAAGATTATCTATGCCTCGGATACGCCCACTCTTGCGCTCTTTCTCGAGAGGGTCCGCAAGAAATTCCATCTTGCATCTGAGGCTCAGATACACAGTGTGGAGGTCGAAATTGCGGGAGGGAAGACTTATGTTGTCGACCTCGAGGATGGGAGGGATTGGTTGGCCGTACAGGAGATAGCCCGAACGGCTGGAACTAGCGCTGTTGGGGTTGTTGTTGAGGTCCAACCTCATTAAATCCTTCTAACGAGGCTTATTTTAATGCGTTTTTTTATTTTTTTATCTTTTTTATCTCGTCTCTTTTATGTACATATCCTAGATAATGTGCTGGCGGCTCGCTAATTCGAGTGATGGGTTGTGAGGGCCACCGGGACTGTGGCTTGTGGTTTTGACGAGGATATACTTTGAGTTGGGGGAATACGGGAGGCTAGGATGCGAGAGCATAGCGCATTTGTCCCATGCGCCAAAGCCAGGAGCTTGGGATAGGTTTAGCCATTGCATATGGTACAAGTATGTAAGCGCAATAGCAAAATAAAGTTTCCGAAAAACTGTATCCGTGGCGCTGGCTGAATGTGGTTAAACGTGGACGTTAGCTCCATCTTCCTGATCTCCCACATTTGCATTGAAACTCCTATGCCTGCTCGGTGGTCCTTACTGTGCTAGTACTGCATCGGACACGTTATACCGAGTAACTTTTCAGTACCCATACGTCAGTCGGGCTCTCCAATATCAGCTGCAACGGCCAATATCAGCTGCAACAGCCACTCCTAGCAGGGAAGAGGTAGCCGAAAACAGGGGTCGTGAGTTTGCATGGGCCCTCATATACCGGTACACACGGATTTTTTGCAATGCTTGTGTAATTCGCGAACCCCTGTACTCGGGCGCTTCTTGCCTGCTACACTCGTACTCCTATAGTGCAAGCAGGCTGGCCTTGCTACTTCATCTGGTGCCGGACGCACCCGCTTCATGGCTTTTCACTCGGGTGGGAAGCTCCGGATAGGCCTGGTGCCCGGAAATTTGTCCAATGGTAGGAGCAAAGGGTGCGCAGTATTTCTGTTCAGATAACAGGGATTCCTGCTCTCAGAGCATTGACCAAGGCCGGGCAGCCGATCCAGTTTCGATTTCAGCGCCTCTTTCTCTCCTCAGGTGTGATCTGTTTTTGAAACGTCCCATAAACCATAATCCCGGTGCAGTGACCTGTCTGAACAAGCACCCGGTTTGAGTATGATACGGACCTGTGCAGGAGGGACTTCTTGGCACTAAAGTCAGATATTAGAGGCCGAAGCTATCTTTACCAGAATGGTACTTGTACTCGTACTAGTACAGTACCGCACGTTACCCATCCACCACTTTCTTGCATTTCATGCAGCTTACGGCACGTGACGTGTTCGGACACCAACCCGGCAGGATATTTTGCCAAGATCCGGGGGACAAGATCTACTTGTGCGGGCCGTTTCGGAAAAGTTTATCCGCCTTGGAATTCGGAGAAAACTGACTCGGTAGTTTGTTGAGTTTCTATACTTTGCTTACCCTTGGGGTTTCGTGGGGGCTTACTAGAAGCAATGCAGGGGAGGGATAGTGTGTAATCCTCTCCGGATTTGTTAGCGTCTTATGTCTATTAAAAGTAGTTGAGAAAATACTTTCCTCCAGTGCTTGGGGGCGTGGTGAGGCCCGTAGAGGTAGTTTTTGGAGCTGTGTGAGTGTCCATTGGGCAATTTCATTAGCCAATAAGAGGGAACGGGGAGAATGGAGCACTAACTCAGGAACTTGATCATTCAGACTTGCCCCCTCAGGATAGGAGATGATGATAAGAAATCCGGAGCCAGCTCTCGGGGGGGTTACGGGGACAGAGGGAGGTTGTGGCGTAATCTTAGGTATTTTCCCCCGTAGTGGGGCCTCTGTTCCGGCATCGGGCCGGCTGCCCGGTCAAAACGGACAAACTGGGGATGCTGAATTACAGGAGCTCGGGGAAGGGCCAGCAGGTGGTATCCGCTTGTGTTTGTTTGGAGATCTTGCGTTAGGGAATTTTGGGAGGGGGGAAGGTTCGACGCGAGGGTACTTACGGCACTCTTTATATACCCCCTCAGTAGCCAGGGTAACAGCCAGTAGTATACATGCTTACGTCAAATGGCCACGTACTGGTGCCTATTATAATCAGAGACATTCAGCTTCAATGCCATTGTGTGGCATGGTCTTAACGGCGGGATGAGCCTGTGTATCGTGAGGTGGACGATATATCACGTATTTTATGCATGCGCGCTGAAGGGTTTGGCTCTAATATGTCCCTCCAGTAATCATCTGGTTCGGTCTGTTGTCCCAATATGAGCTCCACTCGCTGTCGAGCAAAACATGGTTTCAGTATTCTTAGTTCGGATTCCTGGCCAATGACATCACGCCCTTCTTGGTTTTAGAACATGTCTCATGACTAAACTTTTTTTTTCTATTGATTGTCGATATCAAGGAATAGGGGAAAACCCGAGAGGTAATATGGAGACGAAAACAGGCTACCGTTAACAGTTTGGGGATGGCGGGCAATGTAGGAGATTCAACTACACTATAATCTCGAGTGCTTGACGTGTTGGTATAAAAACCCCATAATTATTTCCTTGTGCGGAGGGTTTAGAAGAGTGCACCCCACATCACTCATGGTATGATAGCTCCTTTTCACGTCCCGGGTGGCCTTACTACTCAAACATCACGACTGTCCTCGGACACCGTCATATGGGCTTCCATCCCAAGTCAAAACAATAAACTCAGCCCGGCTCCGCCCACAAGACTGACTATAGAAACACCCATTATAATGCCCGGTCCCCGAAAAACATGCTCCTGCCAAGGGCACGTGGGCCCTCACCTCTTCCCCTCACCACCTTCGAGCAAACCTAATATCGAACAGAGCGGCAAATGTCCAGGGTCAACATACCCCACAACCCTAGCACCTACTACTTTACTCCATACAAAGGCAGCCAGCGCGCTAGCAATAGGATAGATCACGGGCTTTCTGCGTACACTACCGTACCCATACGTTTCGGTATCCGTACTTCGTATCTGGGCATCGCGGGCCCAGTTAGTAACTCACTGATCAGAGCACCGCTCAAGAAATTCTCTAGCTTTGAGAGTAGGAATGGTATCATAGCGGAATTGAATGGGATCTCTGTCGTGAGCAGTGTGGGGAGGTGTGCCGTTGGGAGGTGTCGTGTGTTTTGCCTTTTTTACTCCTATTGTTTTCGGGATTATTGGTAATCTCCCGGTCTTGCATAGTACTAGGTCTACCGGGTGTGGGGGAAAACTGACCAGGTGAGTACTAGTATGGCGGACCAGTCTTATGAATCTCTCTTGGGTTTTACGGGGAGGGTGGGATATAGTGGGGAAGAATTGTTTCGTGGGCCTGGAATGGCGGAGAAACATGTTACTGGTGTGTTGTGCATGGGTGATTGTTCATGATTCCTATGGGTGGCAACACGCTTTTGCCTTTTTGACCTGTGAACCTAAATCTGGTGATATCGCATACGGTACGCAGATTCTTTCGATTGGTAACCCCAGTGGTGCGCTTGTGTTTTCCGGCCTTTAGGGGTGGCGCCTGGGGCTCTCTCTGCTATTGTATGGAGGGACTCGGGGGCAATGGGGTCACTAATACATATCCTATGTAGGCAGACGACAGATAACGTTGTCTATTTGAACCGATACGTCAGTAGAGGAATCTCTTATCCTATCCACAATTAATCAAGGTCTCTTTATTCCTTAGATGGAGCAACTTCTTGAACCCATCTCCCCTCTGCCCCTCGAGCATCCTACGCATATCTCTTGCTCTCTTTGGGGGATACGAGCTCAAGGGCTGCTACTAGCGCTCTGCGGAAAAGAAGAAAAAAAATCATCTACCGTCTACTTATGGGAATGAAGCGGTGGACTATCAGAACACTGGAGCCGTATGATGGAGGGTGGTACCTGTGGAGAGGATAAGAGCTATAGTTATTTGTAGAGCTCGCTCCACCTTAAGCTCCAGGTAGTGCCATTAATAAAACCCTCCCCAAAGAGCACTTCCATTAGCAAGCCTCCCATAGCCTACCGAAATTCTCTTTTACCACCGGGGTCAGATCGGATTAATGATATAAACCTGACTCGCAGAAGTTTCAAAAACGTCAACTAATACGGTAATTGTGATAATAAGGGCACCTGAACCTGACAAACAGCTACAAATTACATTCCTAGTACTGCTTGGATGCTTCTCCCTACTCACCACCTGAACCTCCATCCCGAGGGAATCCTCCCCGCAACCGCACATCTCATAAACGCATGCTAAATCTCATATCATAGGAAACCAGACAATGCAGAGACATGGGAAGAAACGGTGCTTACGAGAGCAGAGTGATATGATACAGAAAACTGGCAATTTCCAGTTGTGTGGTTCTCACACAGGGCCATAACTGCATGCTGATCATCTATCCCGATTGTATCCTCATTCCTGTCAAATCTGTACGTTCTCAAGAAAAAAAAAATAATACCAATAATCGTATCGTCATATTTTAAATTGCATATATTCTTAGTTTCTTGCCAATTCGTTTTCTTATCATGAAGATTATAGGACCCGTTTTACACTCTCTCACCTTCCACTGTTTTTTCAATTTTTTTTAATTCCATGATACTCGTTATGTAAGGATATCTCATAGATCCACAATCTGGCCGCTAAAAGTTTGGGTCGCCCCTTCACCCCCCCTACTGATCCCGTGGAACATATCCTGACCACGCTCCATTCCTTCAAGCTGGATGATATCATATTTGTTACCATGTTACAAAGTTATCACTGATGGTTACGTACCTTTTACTTTGTAGTGGGAGTATCGCTGTACTGTACTGCGCTGCACTGCACTAGGGGTTTTCAAAGTTAAAAACATGATTTTTCAGTAACGAGTAAATGTCGGAAGTTGCATAAGCTTACTTTCTGGTATCAGCCAATAGCATCCTCATATTCCTGGTACCATATTTGAGAGTTCTAAGGTAACCAAAGGCAAAGTACAAAGGTTATGGGCAGATCTTACAGAGATGGTAAGAAACCTGTTTCTGTCAACAAAATATCAAAAGTTGGAAGATTTTCATCAGTGAGAGTACATAATTATTCCTGGGATGTGCTATTGTATTTTTTAAAATTGGTTTTTGATTTTTTTTAAAATTTTCTTTTTACACTGTGTCTGTTGTTACAGGTTTGGTAAAGCTGTATAAAACCAGGATCAGGATCCATTACTGACCTCCAGACCTCTGTCTCTACCCTATGGTATGGTAATGTTAAGTAACAGTAAATTAACCATTTCTGTGCATGCCAAGTTTACATAAAACAGCAAAGTAAGCTAAATTTTTGCTACCTTTTTAACTTTGAAAACTCCTACTGCATGCGTAACTTATGACACGGACTAAATGACATCCGAGTATGATACCATATTATACTCCCCTACAAAACTTCAAGGAAACTCTCTCTCTCTCTATTTGGTTAAACCAAACATGTATCTTTGCCAAACACGGTACAATTTACCAATTCCCTAAGGATAACACCCTTTCAGTTGTCAGGAGCAAAGGACTACGGTATCCATCCATCTATAACTTATATGTTTCTCCATGTTTTTGTTTTATATATAATATGGTCATCATCTGGACATTTCATGGTGATACATTACTAACAGAACGGAATGGGACTACAACAGTGGGCCGCCGGGTGGTATTACATTAATTAGTAGTCAGTAGTTAGTGGAGGTATCCTAGTTGCAACCCATGCGGTTCACGATCAATCCCGTGTAACCGCAGGATCGGAGCGTACAGTAGAATACATCCGAGTACTGTACCGGTATTCTGCGGGGTGCACCGGAAGCAGTGCGGAAGAGCACACGGTCGTAACGATGGGGGAACCTTGATTTGTGAGAGTGGGAGTACCTCGAGGGGGGAGGGGGCTAGGGGGGGGGAATGGAATTGGGGATTGGTACGGTAGAGTAGAAAAAATAAAATAAAAATAAATAAAAAAGCAAAAGGATAATCCAATCTACTCGAGTACCGGTACAGTATTCGAGTATAGTGATTGCCTCTACCTACGGTACGCTGGTTTTACGGAAAAAAGGAGGAAGAAGAAGAGGGGATGAACCGTGCACCGCTTTTTCCCCAGGGATAAGTTACAGGTGTATCCATGATGCTGTACGAGTACTGCGAGGGATAATCCAATACTTTTTCCTAGCGCCGTAAAACACTCGATTGAATGGTGTGAGGTCGACGGTTTTTTTTTTTCCCTGGCGGTTAAGGTATTATCCATGCTCCGTAATACCCACCCGGACGAGCACGGCAACCCAATAACCCAGAGGCCCTTGCTCGGCCATAGGTTGCTGGCTTAAAATAAAATCCCTGACGGAATATCGACCTACTACGAGTGCCGAGTATAGTACCTGCCGGTACCCATGATGCTTCAACCATAAATACAATTATATAATATGTAACGGAACATGCCATGGACCACCGTACCGGTATGGCTATCGTATGTATGTATAGTATTGTACGTCTAGTTAACTAACTCACCACTTTTGATAGTGGTGGGGGGAAGGAAAAAAAAATCCCTAAAATGGGAAGAGAGGAGAAAAAAGAAAAAAAAAATGGAGCACCCCCATTTACTTACTGACCCAGAAACAATCAGAAACAATCAGAAACATCCAATGCCATAACTATATCCCAAAAAGAAACCCGCAAAACCGTGCCTGATTTTTCCCAAAGAAAGAAAATGCTCCCCCCAAATGATTATGAAAAGGAAAGAGATAAATAAAAACACCCCGATAAAAACGAAGATTCCAAATGTACGCCAGAATTGAGGAAAAGGGAAAAAACTTAAATTTACAGTAAGGCTCCCAAAGACGAGAGAGAGATCAAAAAAAACAAAAAAAAACATCCCAGGGTAAGAAGGGAGATCTCTTCTCAACCGTGTGCGGATGAATGAGGGGAGGAACGCACAGTATATATACTCAACCCCTTACTCTCTCCCCTCCCAAACTCCCTCCCCCACTATCACCGATGGGCCCCCTGATACTCCTCCTCTCAGCCGTCCCTATTGGAGGTGTAGTCATCGGAGTCGCCCCTGCAGAAGCGGATCCTTCGGCATGCTGTTCTGTGAAAGCCGTGCCCTCTTCTTTTATGGTAGAACAGTAAGTATCCAACACCTGTTTGAGTTGGGGCCGTTTGATGGGTTTTGCCAGGAAGTAGTTCATGCCAGCGTCCAGGCCTTTTTTATTATTGCACGAGTCAGGTTAGTATTATGTGGCTGACGGGAGGGGGAAGGGGGGGGATTATTTACAGTCTCTGACGTTGCTTTCCTCAGCAAAGGCTGATAATGCGACGATCGGTGCATCGTAGCCCAGGTGGCGGATTATTTTCGTGGACTCTATGCCGTCGAGGTTCGGCATCTTTTATTCAATGTTAGCACCTGTCCTAGTGAATAGCTGTGCGGAGGGAAGGAAAACACCTGAATATCCATAAGCACCAGCTGGAAATTCTCCCCAACATCCAACGCCTCCTTGATCCTATCCACAGCCTCCTGCCCATCCTTCGCAATGGTGACGTCGTAAATCTCCTCGAGCTTCAGCATCTTAAGCACAACCTCTTGATTGACCTTGTTATCCTCCGCGACCAGAACTCGAACCCTCCCCGTGCCCTCATCCCCTCGGTGCTCGTGCATCCCGTCGTTCGCGGCCACCTCGGCCAGCTCCTGGTTAGGCGTTGGATTCGGCGGTATGCTGGGAGCGAAGAATGGCTGGCTAAGACCCACTAGACGTGGCTTATGGCTCTTTCCAAAGGAGACACCACTCTGGACGCTTTTGGCGGACGCCGTCTCGGGCAGAGCCTTGTCAATGGTTGCGATGACAGAGCCGGCGAGTGAATTGGACCGCGAGATGGCAGTGGCGGCGGCGGCGACACTTGGGGTGTACTCTTTTGCGCACTTTAAGGGGATTTTCAGCGTGAAAGTTGTCCCAGCCTTCTCCAGGCTCTTGAGCTCAATTGTGCCATGCATTAGCCTCGCGAGTTGGTCGCAGATGCTCAGGCCGAGACCCGTTCCGCCATACTTCTTGCTTAGGCGGAGATCACCTTGAACGAATGGCTCAAAGACCTTTTGGTGGAGTTGCTCCGGGATGCCGGGGCCGGTATCCTCAACTTGAAATTCGAACATATATGTCTTGGCATTTGAAGGCGGGGCTAACACTTGTCCATCCCCGAATATCTGGTCACCAATTCTCTCGGTGGTGGGAGGACCAGCTGCTTGGCTCGTCGGTGGAGGGCTGCCAACGGCGGGTGACCCGTTCCGAGGGGTGTTGGTGGAATTAATCCGGGAGACGGCTCTCGACCCGTGGTCGTGTTTGGATTCGGTCCTGGAGCTGCCACGTCGTACCGTGATCTCTTCAGGGACCGGAAGCACCTCTTGTAATAGCCTCATCCGGACCTGAACGGTGCCGTTTTCCCTAATCTAATATCAGCATCGCAACCAAAAGAGGTCGGAATTTAACTAACGGAGTGAACTTGAGACTGTTGCTAACCAGGTTAATCAAAACCTGGAGTATCCTATTCGAGTCACCCCAGAACACCATCTCCTGAACCCTCTTCTCCGGCGCAGTACTAATGCTAAAATCGATCCCAGACTCGTTCGCTTGAGTTTCGAATATAGCCTTGATCTGGGTCGATATCTCCGCTATCCGAAACTCCTTCTCGTCCAGTGAGATAGCCACCTGTCCCACTTGGTTCCTCGAGAAAGTCAATAAATCCGTGAGAAGGTGCAGTAATAATTCCCCACTCTTATAAACCACACCGAGTGACCGCTTGATCTTGGGTATATCATCCTCCTGCATGGAAACAGCGCACATACCCAAAATACCGTTCAGTGGTGTCCGCAGCTCGTGAGTGATATTAGCTACGAAGAGTGATTTGGCCTGGTTAGCCGACTCAGCAACCTTCTTTTGCTCCTCAAGCTCCTTGGTCCGCTCGGCAACCCGCTCCTCAAGATTCTCATATTGCTTCATGAGTTCCTCGGACATTTCGTTAAAGGTCCGCGTCAAGTCGGTGAGTTCATCATCGACAATATGCTTCCTTTCGCGCACTTTGCCAGGGATTCGGAACGCCCGTCTCCGCCGATCATCGCTCCCATCCCCGCTCTGGGAACTATCCCTTCTGAGATTCCGGCACCGTATAAACTCCCCCATTCCATAAAACCGATTACGCCCTCGATCCTCATCGGCGGGATCCTCCAGGTTGGCCTCGGGATCAAAGGAATCGATAGTACCGGATGATGCGCCATTGGGGGTATACGAAGGTGGTCGGGTGCCTATAGAAAGGGTGTTAGTACGGATGGCATTTGGCTCAGGCGAGTGGGATGGGGGTCAGAAATTTCTCTACTTTTTTCCGTTGCACGCTTCAATCTAGTTATAGGCTTGACGGCAAAGTGAGCTATGGGGCACACCAAGGCGATAACTACAGCGAAGGTTCCGAAAACCGTGCCCAGCAATATATTCCTTAACTTGTATATCGGTTGAAATGCTTCCCCCTGGTCTTGCTCCACCAAGAGGGCCCAATCAGCAAGGTTCTTGGAGGCTTCGGCGATGGAAAAGCTGTAATCGGTCAGCCCGGGAAGGGAAACGCGACGAAAGGGGAGGCATACCCAACGCTAACAAGCCGACCCTCGGAATTCCTCGTGTCGAGATTACTCCCTCCTCCGTCGCCATTATCACCATCCCGCCCATTCGCACCGATCCCGTCCTGGTAGACCTTTTTAACCATTGGGTAATCTTTCAGCTTACGTACCTCCCCGGCCAGCCCTGGGTGCCTGCCCGGTGGGAACAAATATCGGAACTCGTAGTCTCCTATACCTTCGTGGGGAGTCCTCTTTCGAAGACCCAACCTCCTTCCCACCCATTCGATCGTCGACTCAGGGGGACCCGTATCCCGATCGAGAGAGCTCCTCTTGGCCATACTAGCGGTGCTCGCGGGATCCGACAGGCCATTAGCAGTCGCATTCGGCATCTCGGAAGCGGCGGAAAGAGCGGGATCGGCCCATTTGTTGTCGAGTGTAGCCGGGCCAACCAATATTGTTTGACCCGTAACCCCCAAGCCACGCGTATCCTGGACAATGTCCAATATTACGCCGGCGTTCAGCACGACGGTGAGAAATCCCAATAAAGTCGCCTCGCTGGTGTTATTGATGACTGGGATGGTGAACGATAGCATGTAGAACGACTCGTTAACCCTCATCGGACCCAGCAACAGCCCCTTTCTGGAATATATATCTTCCGGGGTAAATACGTTGCTCGGGGCGAGTCCCTGACCGCCCTGCAAAAAAGGGTACAGTCCATGGGGAAAGCCATCCTTCACTGGCAGCCCTTTGGTAAGGTTTGCATCGGCTTCAGCGTAGTAAGCGGCAGATGAATTCGCGAGAACCATGGGGTATGTGATGTCCCCATTGGCTGGGTCAGCGGGTAGCATAACCCCATGAGCATTATCGCCCGTAACGTTCAACAGACCCATCCTACCACCCAGCCCACTCCCAACCTTTATCGCCGTCCCGTTCGGCAGCGTGCCGGTAAAGTTCGGGTTCGCAGCGCCAAGCTCCATTCCGTCGATCACGGTTCCATCAGGCACCCCGACCTCACCAGTGCTAAGGTTCTCGTCGTAGACCACCACCTGCAAGACATCCGGGAAGCCTCCCATATTGGCGCTGGCCGAGTTTTTCAAGTCATCAATGGTGCGTAGCCAATTGTCCACGGTATTGTTACCCCTCCGGTACCTCCGCAATGAGCTCTGCAAGATGGCCCTGGTACTGATGGCGTAGACGGTGTTGTGCAGCAGGGCAATTGACTGGGTGACCTGTATGGATTTTAATGAGGCGGTGAGGGAGAATCTCGACGATCGAACTTCACGGACTAGTCGGTAATTGTGAACCCACTGCTCTCGTCAGAAATGGTTGTCGGGCAATGGTGCCGGGGTTCGGTTCGGTTCGGTTTGGCAGGGTTACGGGTGGATGGGGTGGGATGGAGCTCACTGTTACAACGGCCAAGACGCCAACTGCTATCAGCGCTGTCAGAGCGACCAATAAACTGAGTTGTTCACGAATGCGAATCCTCATGTTTGCTGGCCGCCCGCTGTGCCTATGTCGGTTTCGAAAGATCGGGCGAAGGATCCGGAGTTCAGGCTTGGGAGGGAGAGTACTTGTCCCTCCCAACCATCAGCAAGTTCGAGAGGTGAGTTGAGCGGGGCGGAGAATGCGGGACGGGTGAAAGAATCGAAAAAAGGACTGAATGGGTTGGGGAAGACGATAAATTGTGAAGCTCAGGAAGTTTGTGGAGGGGCGGGGGGAGGACGACAGGAGAGGGAGTGCGTGAGTGGAAAGCACGAATATTTACGGCAGTTTGCTTGCACCGAGTTGACAGGTTGACGGGTACGAAAGAGGACTAACTTCCCGGTAGTCCAGAGTTCGAAACGGGCAAGTGGGATTGGCAAATCCGGTCCAGGCCCGGGGGTAAAGGATCCGGGGGCGAGAGGGTTAAAAAAATAATAAAAAATAAAGATACAGGTTAATTAAGAGAGGGTTTGGCAAAAACAATAGCATCCACAGCGATGGCTGTTTCTTCACATATTATCATACCAGACGGGGCAACTAATCCTTCCCTTTCTTTTTTTCTTTTCTTTTCCTTCTTCCCCGGTCACAGTAGTCAGTGCGTACCCTATCATAAGAGGCGAAAGCGGACAAACCGAAAGCTGTCACACCGTAATTCTTGGGACAGGTATGATAGCTGGGAAACAAGGGTTGAGTGAAGGTTGAGAAGCGGGCGAGGGCTGCGGCCGTGGTTATCCACTGGGCTAGATGCAAAAGCGAGTCGATCGAAAGGGTTGATAGGGCGGACTGAAGCTCGCAGTATGATACCGTCCGCTCCAGGGGCCCTCCAGACAACATGATAGGCGCGGTGTGCAGAGGAGTATCACACAATCCTTTCCCTCCCTTGCGGCTGAACATCTACGGTGGGACTGCAGCGTCCGTTCCACCACAGAGCGCAAAGTCACCTCCAAGCGATGCCCCGCAAAAGTAAATATGAAGGGTTCTCGCGCTGGAGCGGCAATTCACAGGGGTGGCCAGCATGTTGCTCGTAGAACGCGAGGGAAATAAAAAGGCAGAAAAGGGAAACATTCACATCGGAGTGAATTCCATGTTGTGATACGACACTTCCATTCGTATACCGGTATTGTGCAGTGGCATGCCCCCCCGACCCATCGTCCACCATCACCCGTGTTCCCGAGAGTCTACCCGTACGAGAATATTGTAAGGGTATCATGCTACTGTGCGGTACCATACGAGTACCGGTAGAGCACCACCACCATCGATATCGACCCTGTCACAAGAGGGAGAGCCCCACATGCTACAGAAAATCTGGCACCATCCATCCTTTCGTTTCAGGTACAAAAGAAGAGAGATGTTGACCACCTTCCCCCCCGCCGTTGGCGAAGCAGCATGTGTCTCCCTCCCTGCTGTGGTCCAGGCCTTGCACGCACCCACTTCGGTGTGCTCGAGCACATCCAGCAGCCTGGCCATATCGCAATATCATACCCTATCATATGTACCGGTAGCCCGGCTTTTTTTATCGCGGTGGTGCTGGGTTGGCTTGTGGAAAGGGATTAAACTGCAGTAGGGTAAAGAATCCACCCATCCATTGGTTATGCTGGTACGGTACTGTACTTGTATCATGCTGGTCCGAGTCTACCCTACAGCGATCTGTTGTGTTGGGCTGGGCTGTGCTGTGCTTTGTCCCGCGGCAGCGAATCGCACACCCCCGTCTCACATCTGGCGCAGCGCCCACCAAACATGCCGATTCTCAGAAATCCCATCTTTTCCGCATTGGGAAAGATGAGATTCGAATGAATGGATAGCATGGAGAACAGAAGGGGTGGAGGAGGGGGAGAAAGGTATGATACCGATATTATGATAGATAAAAGCAAACATAAAGCACCAGTACGATGTTCCCCCCAGCGACCCTAGACTGCCTTCCGCAAACAGCGCCCGACCCCCCTCCTGCAAGATCCACAAACCCAAACCCTCCGCCGCGAGCGAACTCGGAATCGAAAAGCAACCGGACCCGCGGAGCACAGATCGGACCCGCCAGAATTGCGGTTGACTGATCCGATGATGATCCCTTGCTTGCTTGCTCACAACCGGGCGGGCAGGGGAAACAAAAGCAAAGAAGAGCAAAGAGATCACAGCACAGCACGAATCTCCGAAATTCCCACGATATGCTCGCCCCGCCCTTCGCGCTAATACAAGTACGGTAGCCCCACATTTGAGGCTTGGGCTTCGGAACGCGAACCTACAGTGCTCGAGTACGAGCGCTGTGCTGCCGGTACAGGTAGAGTTTGCGTTGGAGGAATAAGAAAAAAGAAGGAAAAAGAAATGAGGTCCTGTCTGACAGGAGGGAGGGCACGTTACGGAGAGAACATTCGTACTTGCACAGTCTTGTCTCATTACAGCGTAGCGCCTGTCTTTACACTAGGGGGTTGTGGACACGACCGCACAGCACCGCACCGCACGGGATGGAAACTCAAAGGGGGTGGTCGAACGGTTCTTCTTCTTTCTTTCCTTCTCCTTTCTCTCCCCCAAGCATTTTGTTGGAGCACGAGTGCGGCACTCGTGCTCGAGTACAGTTCAGCACAATACCGGCAATCCCCACCACGCAGACCTAAATTTTCACATGCAACAGTGGACAAATACTTGTACAATACCGGGAGGGATCCCATCATAACGGCCCAGCACGGTCCAAACGGGAGATCCGTCACGAACCACGAACTGGAAAAATGAACTGTGCTGCTGGCCTCGGCTCCCTCCGGAGGCGGTTCGCAAGATTGCTTGGCGGTTCAGAGAGTGTGGGTGCAGTACGGTACCGTAACGCATTAAATTTATCTGGTTGAGAACCAGCAGATGCTTATCTAAGTCGAAATAAGAAGCGGCTGAGGTGAAACCTACAGTTGCGTTAGAATCGGAGCCCTGAAGGGTTTGGACCCGACTATACAGAGCTAGGATCCGGAGTTTTATTGGGATTTCGGGGCAGAAGAAGAATGAAAAGTCTTATGAGATTCGAACGTACTCCACTGTACTGCACTGCACTAGCGCCTGACGGCTCTCGCCAGATAGGTTGATGCGCTATCGCGCTCCATGAGAAGCTATGATAACAGCATCCCGCACTTTGCAACTCCGGCAGACTTAACAGCCCCACCTTCCTTTTCGTATCCTTCGAGCCCGAGATGGGGAATCTGGCATGGTGGCAGAACCGTCACTTTCCTTTACCTCAAATGAATTACAGTATATCAACTGTGTCACAAAACCTTCAGGCTGTAGTTAACACTGGAACCGGGAACCGAGAAATCTACCGTGAGTGTGGAGGCGGGCCAAACGTGACGGCCGCCCCATCCTAACGGTTGCCCCGCCAAGATTCTCTACTTGACTCCTCTTGTATAGATAGATTCTGTCAAACCTCCAGTGCAATTGCATCACGAACCGGAGGTCTCACAATATGCAACGATACAGCCTGAAATGCAGTTGAACTCCTGCCCCGCAGTGTACGAGTAGAGTGCAGTCGACACCATATCAGGAATTCATCCCCGGGTCAAAGGGAAAAAAAAAGAAAGAAAAATGTGTGCTTTTTACGATGCTCTCAAGTATGATACTGGTAACAGCCAACTTCCTCCAGGTTTTGCATCAGGCTGCCAAGTGTACTCGAGTAAATGAGGCGAAGAGTGTGCGACTGGCTCGAATGCAACTTTGACCACTCAGAGAGCAGTAGACTACTCGGGTACCGGTGCTTGTATCGTACTCGAGTACCGCAAATCTCGGAGCACGGCAGGGAGCCCTTCCCCCACAGGTGCGAGTACCGTACTCGAGTACGAGTACAATCCGGTAGTTACACACACCAAATCCCTTCTGGCACCGTGAATGCCGAATCCGCCTTACCGTATCACGCCACCGATACAGTAGGCTCAAACTTGTGATTACAGTAGGCGAAAAAAAAAGGCAAAACACCAAACCCTCTCGACCAAAAAAATGCCACCTATACGGAGTAGTATGATACTGCACCATAACAGCCCCATATGGTGCCGAGCACGGCACGAGTATCTCGAGTACTCGAGTGTGATACGGCACTACTCGTACGGTACCCTAGAGAGGAGAGAGGACCGTCCGGCGCCCGGGCTGAACATAGGCGAGTTGCGGAAACACGGCACAACCCCAACACTCGGTAAGTGATGCTAAATCCCCCTTTCAACCGCGGAGAAAATCTCATCTTCACACACATCCACACTTGCACACACACCACCGCTGGCTTCAAACAAACCAACGGGCGGGCAGAAAAGAAAAGAAGAAAACAACCAAACCTTACCCTTGTTCGTACTTGTACTTGTACGAGTACAAGTACAACACTAACACCCTCACTGTTAAGTAGGGTGGCTTACACTTTCGGGCGCGCGCTGCTATTATGACACCGCACTGTACAGTACAGCACCGGTACGAACAATACTCCCTGATTCGGCAAGTATTCCATCCCGGGATTAAAAAAGAGTAATTCCCGGAACTATTACTTCACGCCCGAATTCGAGGATCCTGACACCCATACTTCTGGGTATGGTATCACGATTATGATACTTTGTGCATCGGCGGGGATGATATGTTTGCAGTGGATGGGGCGGAATAGGGCTGTTTTTTTGTCTTTTTTTTTCTTTCTCCGGCGGGCTTCCTGGTGGCACAAGTACTGTGAGGCTTTGGGTACATCTGCCCGTTGGAGGCTATCACAACTAAACCTGCAGGGATGGTCATGGTCATAAGTCATCACTCGTATTGGGCTCGAGTTTGTGGGGCGGTTTGTGAAACTTTAAATCAAAGGGCTTTGGGTAGGGCTGGCTCGCTCAAGTATTATATTATAGAAGCACTGACTCGTGTATGGCACGGTGAAATATAGTCCAGGGATCGCGAATACGCGGTTCGCATTTTCAACTTATAAGCACATTTCTACTCACCGTGTTATATCCCCGCCTTCTTCTTCATTATCTCTCTCCCCCTTACAGACCTTCTTTCGTGGGTTATAGGATTAGGGATTGTCCCGCCTCACGGGTATCTCACAAGCCGGCACAAGTCTCCTCAATATCTGAGGCTCGTATCGCACTCCGGGCAGCGGTCAGTTAGCACAACCGGATTCCCACAACAAGTGGTTGATACAGTAAGAGTGTGTAGTGGAACCTCGTTGACCCCTTTCTATAGGAAAATAGTGGTGGACAGAAGGGATATCTCGGAGAGGGGATCATCTAATTCGCGATCGGCGCTGGTCCGGAATACTCTTTCTCCTCTTGGTCCCATTCCATATAGTACAATAGTTGGTCTAACAGCCCCCCATGGAAATGAAAATTTTGTCGACGAAAAGGGGAAAAAAACACGTGATGGACTATGAACGCAATAATGACCTGCAAATATCATCAACGTAAGCTACCGTGAGCACCTCTACTTGTATTTTCATCGTGTATTCGTTATTGGGGACTAGTAGGAGCACTAGTCCCAGAAGAGAATTCTGCAATGGGAGAAAAACTAGGCTTTTGTGCTAATCC